TGTTGAAATTAATTTACACCTTAGCAGTTCTTAACTGCATAGTGCCTTTAATCTTAGTCTGTTTTGTTGTTCTCCTCCTTGTCACAGGGTCAAGGGGCCAGCTTGAACCTGGAAAAGTCTTGGAGAACACATCTTGAGATAATAGGCTTGAGTCTGAAGTGGGAGGGCCAATCCCATTTTCAGAGTCAGCGTCTCAGTGAGCTCAAACAGCATGTGACAATTTACCAATATAATTAATATTACCCTGGCATTATAACTAGAAGGCACTCAGGGAAAGATGGGGCAGGAACATAAGCAAACATAGAGCATCTGAGTAGCAGAGAGGGAAATAACTATTTCAGAGAAAAGCAGGCTTAGAATCACAATGTAGAAAGGGGAGGAGTTATGACCAGTAGAGGTGGCATCTCAAGCCTCTCACTCAAGTAGACAATTACTTTTTACCTCTCATTGTTGTAACTATGTGTTGGTAGCAGCTTGTCTCTTGTAAGGTTTTGGCCCTGGAGTACAGCAAATTTTCATCTGCTTCACAGGTCTAGTCATCATAGTGTCAGCTCCCTTTGCACCTTGAAGGCAAATGGCTAGAAAAAGTTTAAGTTCCCTTTAGAAACTAACAAATATACTATGTAAAACAGTAGGAATTTAAAATAGTCATTTTTAGAAATTCATAAAAATACCATATAAAAGATGTTAAAATCCAAATAATTCCTTTAAAATTACCAGATAAAGATGTCATTCAAACAATGTCAAAACCTAAAATTAATTCCTTTTAAAATATCCATAATTATGTCAAACAATGTAAAAACTTAAAACAATCATCTTTAAAAAACACTAAATATACCACAGAAGAAGTTAAAACTCAATATAATCCCCTTTACAAACAGGCCCTAATCGATGTTAAAATTTAAACTCCCGTTGTGTAGATCTGGCATTATTACCTTAGTCTGAACTAGAAAAGAATTGTTTATTTTATGACATCATCAAGAAACGAAAACAAAAATAAATTGGAAGAGAATCCTAGGCACCCTGGTACCAGTAGATTAGGCTTGATATTAGAGAAGAAAGTACCCTCATATATATGTATATGTGACCCAAATAGAAAAGCACATTAAAGAAATCCATGTTTCTCACCAGCCATTGTAGCTGTGAATGGGAAGCCGAGTTCTCAGGATCTTAGTTTCTAGACAGAAGCTATGCTGGAAAAGAAACTCATGAGGGCCGCAGAAGGAACAGTGTTCATTGGTCTGAAAGCAGATGACTCACCTGAGCAGTGCCTGTGACTTTTAAACTTAAAATGGTTAGGTCCAGTTAGAGAAGTAGGCACCTGAGCATTGGTTGCTTGATGCCTAAGATCAAAATTTTAAAAACCTTTTAAAAAAACGTTTTTCCCTTGTCAATGGGGCAAGCCACCTGAAATTCTTTAAATGCTCCGGCAAAGTTCCCAGCCTATTTAGGCTAGTTGGGTCAAAAACGGGGAGAAAGGGTCCCCTAAAGGGTTTTTAGCCAAATTTATAAAAGAATTCAAGAATGGGCCCAGCTGGAAACATCATTTCATTAGAATGTTAAAAGAAATCCCAGGGCAGGCGAGCTGGCAATCTTGGCAGCTGCCTGGAGTGGGGGTGAATAGTGGGAAGGAAAAAAAGCCTTGAGGTCATGCAGGTTTAAAGCATGCGTGGGAGGTCAGACATGTCGGGGAGCTGGCAGGCAGGCACACAGCAGGGAGTAGAAAGCTTTAGTATGGGATGGGGGGAGAGAGAGGGATACAGAGCATTTGCATGTGTTGGATTGAATGGTATCAGAAATCATCCCAAGTCAGGAGGAAAGGAGTGCAAGAGGACAGCAGGCCTTCCAGGCCCATGGCAAAGGTGGGGGGAGGGGGCGAGATGCAGGTGGTGAGTGGCCGGTGGTAACTGAGATAGGGAACGGATGAAGCAGGTCCATCACGGAGACCACAGTGCTGTCGGGAGTGGTGAAAAATCAATGGGAAAGGAGATCAGAAGTAGGCAAGGCAGAGTGTTTACAGTGAGAAGAGCCAGAAAGAGGTGAGAGCAAAGCAGAGGGCTGGGGAGAGGAAGAGAGAGAAAAGAAGTGTACCTGAGAGCCAGGTTAGTGGCGTTGGAGAAGTCCAGGCAGGTCCCTTGAAGTAAGAACCGGGTTTTGGCACCATCTGATAGATAAAAAAGTAGCCCTATGACGAATAGGGTTGATCAGGAGAAAGCAGAGTTTACACATTGATCAGGAGAAAGCACCAGGACACAGATAAAACTCTAAGGGAATAGAGTTTATTAACAAAGGATTACATGGGGACAGATTCCCTTCCCTGCAGGGAAAATGTCTGCCCCAGGTAGTGAGCTGAGGTCTTTTAAAGGGGGAGGCTTCTGCTTCCTGCAGAAGGTGGGAAGATGTATTTTTTTTTAAAGTTGCGGGGGGAGGAGTGGGACAGCAGGGCTGTTAAAACCTGTCCTCTTTAGAGAGCAAAGGGGAAGCCTGCTGTGTTGGCCAAACAGTGGAGAAAAGTCTGCTTCTCTTGACTTCAAAGACCAAGGTGCTTATCAGCTAGGTTCCCTTTTCTCAGGAGCATGAGAAGTCCTTGGGATCCTGTTGGTGAGGGGGCGGGGCTATCTGAACCTTAACAAAGACAAGTTTGCTTATTTGTTTTTGGAGACAGAGTCTCCAAGTAGCCCAGGCTGGCCTCAAACTGACTATGTAGTAGAAGATGGCCTTGAACTCTTGATCTCCTCCTTTTTACTTTTGAGTGCTTGAGTTATATATGTGCACTGCTACACCCAGAAAACAGCTCTTTTGTTGTTGTCATTAGGTAAACACGTCAGCATCTTACCACTATAGAGAAAAGATCATAGTATGTGAACTCAGACACAGGAATTGTCACATTGTGAGACTCCCAAATCAGTAGATCATTTCTCGTTCTTTAAACAATGGCATAAGAAAGCTTATGGGCATGTACATTGCCTATTGCATCTCTCCAGAATGTCTCCAAGGCATCCCTCTGCCTCTGCAATCCCTCTGTGGCTTTTCATCTCTGAAGTATTTCAGTTGTTTTAGAGACTTTTATTTTGGCTTCTTTTTTATTATTTTAAATTATGTACATGTGAGTATGTGTTTGTGCCCATGAGTGCAGGTACCTGAGGAGTCCAGAAGAGCATGTTGGATCCCCGAGAGCTGGAGTTTTGTGAGCTGCCATGTTGGCAGTGGGACCCAAACTTAGGTCCTCTGCAAGAGCAGTACATGGTCTTAACCATTGAGCCGTCTCCCCAGCCCTATTTCAGCATTTTGAAATTGGAAGTGTCTTGTATTTGTTTATTTGAAAAGCACGTGTTGCACTTACTTTGCACCTGGTAACATTCCATGTATGTCCTGAGAGAACATAGATGAAAACACCAAATCTCCTAACTCTGAAAGTCAGCAGTCCTGTAACTAAAGCATGGCGTGATCTCTCAACTGGGCACGTGAAGCATACCTCTAGCCCCAGTCCTCAGGACTAGACAGGATCAGAAAGGGAATATCCTCAGCTACATGTTGGTTTTAATGTCATTTGGGCCACATGAGACCCTGTCTCAAATTACTTTGACAAAGAATCCTCCCTTCTCTCAAATTCTAGTATTTAGTAAATAAATTTAAGTAGACTTTCTGTCCTTTGTAAGCCAGAGTACTCTAAATAAATCATTTTTTTAAACTTAAAAAAATTATTGAGAATTTTATACATGCATATAAGGTGTTTTGATCAAATCTATGCCCACTCCCTCCCCTCCAACTTCCATATCTCCTTGTCACTTTTTCCTGAATATTTTATTCTCCACTTAGAACTGAAGTCTTACCTGTAAGACTTTTAAAAGATTCCCTCCCTCTCTCCCTCCCTCCCTCCCTCCCTCCCTCCCTCCTCAAGCTTTTTGCTACTCTTTAGCTATTCCCCCCTCTGAAGAGGTAACCCTAAAATCTTGTAGGGATTAGATAAGAGCTCCCAAATACTTTAGACATTTTTGGCTTTTAGAACAGAGCATGTTGCTAAGAGGCCCAAGGACATTGTGAGCTTTAGCCAAGAAACTGGCTGCTTTTCTTTGGGGTCTTTTTACCCTAACTGCCTAGCCAATTCCTACCTCCTATTTTTATCACGCTGTCCTCTGAAGGGGTTACCCGAATTGTCAACAGGGAATCGGGACACAGTCCACTCTGGCTTCTTCCATGCTTACCAGGGATGCAGGGTGAGGCAATTGGGATACCCCTTCAATGGGTCTATCTAAAAGACTCTCAAATTGCATAACTCTTAACTGTAGGGAGAAAAGACTGGTACCTAGGAGATATGAAGGAGAAGTAAAGGCAAGAGTAGTTAGCATTGCAAGTTTCTAGACAAGGAACAAGAATAAAGACAAAACGGAAAATTTCAAATGTTCATATCAGAGTCCTTTGGAATTTCTTAAGGTAATCACTTTTTCATTGTAAAATGAATTTCATACTGTATATTTTGATCATATTTAGACTCCCCCCCTCTATTTGTACCCCCTAAATGTCTCCTGTCTGATTTTATGTACTCTGTGTGTTTGTGTGTGTCTGTGTGTGTGTGTGTGTGTGTGTGTGTGTGAGAGAGAGAGAGAGAGAGAGAGAGAGAGAGAGAGAGAGAGAGAAAGGGCCTATCAAATCAAACCTGTCCCAAAATGCCCTTTGCTGTGGGTCCATCCACGGAAACCTGGTCAGCCTGGTCAGTGTCACACCCTTAAAGAAAACTGATGTGCTCTCTCAGCAGCTAGGTGTATCAGTTCTCTCCTGAAAAAGTTTTTTCCTTTAAATTCTGTAATGGTTGAAATGGAGTTACAGGCTTTCTTATTTTGGGTTTGAATTTTAAAATGAACTTGATAAAATGATCTCCCAGTACGTTAGGACTCTCAGATTAAAATAAGATTATACCTGTGAGATGTTTTCATGTGGAATACATGCTGTTGCTTTAATTTTTGCTTTTAAATAAAATAAACTTGTCTTGTTTTCTTCAGCAAAGCTATGAAATGCTCAAGGGCTTCTTTGCCAAGTCCGTGGACCCGGTGCTGGATGGCCCTGTATCCTTTCCTGTCAAGGAGGGTGAGAAGCACCTCATCCAGCTCCTCTTGGAGAGCTTTTCTTCCAATAGACTGGGAGCCCCGAACTGCAAGGTGATTGACAGCTGTCTAAAGTGAACACTGAAGGCTTCCTCTCACTCTACATTATTTGCTAAGAATCGTAGCTGTAGTCAGGATGGGTTTTCTTTTTTCCTGTTTTTTTATTGTATTTTTCTATGTTTTTACTTTATATGTTTGAGTGGTATGCCTGCCTGTGTGTAAGCGCACCTGTGTTGTGTAGTGCCCACAGAGGAGAGAGCAGGGCATCAGATCCCTGGAACTGGAGTTACAGATGGTTGTCAGCTACCATGTGGGTGCTGGGAACAGAACCCGGGTCCTCTTCAAGAGCAGCCAGTGCCGTTAACTGCTGAGCCACCTCTCCAGTCCTACCTGTTATATTTACTTTTCATTACCTTTATTTTGTATTTCTGTGTATGTGTGGGGGTATGCATATGGCATGACATGGATGTGGATGCCAGAGGTCAGCTTGGAGTGGTTCATTTTCTCCTCTCATGTGGGTACCAGGGATTGAACTCAGGCCAACAGGTTTGTTAGCAAGCATCTTTATCCACTGAGCCAAGTCACTGGCTCTGTTTTTTAGTTTTTGAGATAAAGTTTCACTATGTAGCCCAGGCTGCCTTAAATTCATGATCATCTGGCCCCAGTACTAGATCACAGGCATGTGCTACCAAACCTTGATCTTTCCTATTTTGTTTTTTACATTGTGTGTGTGTGTGTGTGTGTGTGTGTGTGTGTGTGTGTGTATGTATGTATGTATCTCCATGTGTCCGTGTCCATGTGTCCAGGTAACACGCTTGCTGCAGTGCACTTGTGAAAGTCAGAGAACTACTTTTTGGAGTTGGTTCTTTCCATGTGGGTCCTGGGAACTGAATTCTGGTTCTCAAACTTGGTGGCAGATGCCTTTACCCACTGAGCCATCTTGCTGGCCCTTCCCTGATTTTTAAAATGCTGTTAGTTTTCCCACAGTGCAGTCTGTATTCCTAAGAAACAAACCTTTGTCCTTTGTGTCCTCCTCCTCCTCTTTCTCTTCCTCTTCCTCTTTTTTCTCCTTCTCCCTCCTCTTCTCTCCTTTTCCTCCTCCTTCCTTTTCCTTTTAATTCTTTTGTGTCATGGGAATCAAATTCAGGGCTTTCTAGCCAAGTGTTCTACCTCTGACCTATATCCCCAGTGCAAAAATACATTTTTCTTTTCTTTTTTTTTTTTTGGTCTTTTTGACACAGGGTCTCCCTGTAGCCCCAGCTGTCCTGGAACTCACTATGTAGACCAGGCTGGCCTCGAACTTACAGAGATCCGCCTGCCTCTGCCTCCCGAGTGCTGGGATTAAAGGTGTGCACCACCATGCCCGGCACATTTTTCTATTTTTTTTTTTTTTTTTTTTAGTAGAAGAAAGAAGAGTTTATTTGAGCTTAGTGTTCCAGGGGAATTACAGTCCTTCTTGGTGGGGAGGCATGACGGCAGAGGTGGCTGGAGGAGGAGCGGAAAGCTAAGCTCTCATCTCTTCAAGCAGCACTGGAAACGAGAGCAACTCCAGATCTGTCAAGGCTTAAGAACTCTCTAAGGCCACCCCCAGTGATGTGTTTCCTTCAGGATAGCCATACCTTCTAAGACCTCAAAATACACCACCACCAACTGGGGACAAAATGTCCAAACACTTAGAGCCTTTGGGGAACATTCTCATTCAAACCACCATGTTCCACCCTCTGTCATTCATAGGCTTTCATGACCATATAAAATGCAAAATGCATTTAGTCAACTTAAAAGTCCCCATAGTCATTACCAGTCTCAATACTATTCAAAAGTCCAAAGGCTTTTGAGAGTCAAGGAAATTGCTTAATTGTAAGCCCCTGTAAAATCAAAGACAAATTACACACTCCAAACATACAGTGGAACTGAATACACATTGCTATTCCAAAAGGGAGGAACCGAGGCACAGTGAGGGAATACTGGACCAAAACAAGACGGAAACTAGCGGGGCAAACACCAAATCCAGTAGCTCCATGTTCAGCCTCTGGGACTTTACTTCTCTCCAGCTGTGCTGTGTGCAACATACACCTCTCTCTTAGGCTGGTACTCCTCCCTGTATGCAGGTCTTCTTGGCAGATGTCTCATAGCTGTGGCCTCATGAACGTCTTCTTGGGGTCTCCATTGCCAACCAGGCTTCACCTTCACAGCTTCATGCAATGGCCTATCAGAGTCTACTTCATGCAGGGGACCCCTGCTGCATGCTGCCTGGCCTCCAAGGCTCCGATTCCAGGGGAATTACTGTCTGTCTTGGCGGGGAGGCATGGCATCAGAGGTGGCTGGAGGAGGAGTGAAAGTTAAGCTCTGCGTCTTGAAGTGGTACAGGAAGCAGGAGCTCTACCTTATTTATTTATTTATTTTTTTGCAGCAAGGCATTTTTCTATTTTTAAAAAAAATAT